ACAGAATGAAAAATAAGGTTTTTGCTGTAGCGCAAAGGCATTAGCATGCAACATTAGGTCGATAAGGCAACACAAGGGCATCGTATTATGCTCTAGTTTCAACTCTTTCACTCAACCCTGGATGCCCTTTACACAAGATGCCTTTCCTCCGCTTCTTGTTCAGCGATCAGGAGCCGATTCTTAAAGTTCACACCCAGCGATAAAAACCTCGCCACCGTTGCAGCAAAAAACGAAACTAGATCGCCAAGCCGGTCGGTCGAACACGCTGCATGCACGCGCATGGCAAGCACGCTGCATGCGCGCGCATGGCAAGCATGCAACATGCGCGCATGGCAAGCGTGTAGCATGCGCGCATAGCAAGAACGCTGCATGCGCACGCATGGCAAGCACGCTGCATGCGCGAGCATGGCAAGCACGCTGCATGTGCACGCATAGCAAGCGCGCTGCATGCACGCGCATGGCAATCATGTTTCATGCGCACGCATGGCAAGCACGCTTTTCGTACATCGCGACCTCCGCCACCAACAGTGCATTCGAACGTGCAGCATTTTCCTTTGATTTAGATTTAGATTAGCCCCATAGATTTAATTCAATCTCCCAAGAATTTGATTGTGCATTTTTTTCAAACATGAAAACAGTTTCATATCTAAGGGGTTATTGGACGTTTGGTTAAATAATATGTAGGCCATGATTTATTTTCAATCCGGCTCACAAAGCATCCTCATGAACCACAAAATCAAACCTATGGATCGACAAAGTTTGACACACCATAAAAAATGAATTTGAAACGCTAGGACCGTCAAATTAGAGTTTACCCGCAACCGAAAGCTAATCTCGGTCGACCGGCTTGAGGCGCGTCGATGGAGCGAGAAATGCTCGAAAAACTCACTTCACCAAGAGAGCTTTTTGCAATGACCGCTTAAGACCGACAACAAATGGTTGCACTATCGTCATCAGGCGACGGCGATCACGCCAATAAAAAGATTCAGAAAAAAGATCCTCCGATGAACGGATCCTCTTAAATATTTGTTAGGTTTCTAGGGATAAGCGAAAGACTTTCTACTGACTGGAGCCTTGCATAAGAAAGACGAGCAACACTCGCAAAGAAGCGAGACGAGAGCAAAATATTCGACATTTGCCCGACTGAGTATTTGCAATATATTAATCATACAAATTATAAAACGTTGCTTCTATTTCACACGTGCTTCAAGATAAAATAAATTTGTATCAGGCCAATGCAATACAAAACGGTTTCCTCCTCCCTCCAGATCGCAATGAACGTCAGGCCAGCGACCGTCGACCACGTGTCGCCGAATGAGTCTGTAATTACAGGTGTTGTTCTTCGCACCCTACGCCTCAATTGTTGAATAAAAAAGCGTCTGATCTCTTTATTAAGAGCCTAATTGTTACCCGCTTGCAGCCTGATCACAAACATGAACTCGCCTGATGACAACGTAGCATTCTCGGAAATTATTGTCATCATCACGGCACATCCGTCATCCTGCGTGATAATGAACGACAAATGTCGAGGTACAGATGTACTGTTATACCTACCAGTCTATGTAGTGTGTTATGTGATGTCCTGTTATACAAGTCTATGTAATATGTTATGAGTTGCTGCTAGCAATTGACCCGTGAGAGGTACATTCGGTTTGTTTTCAGATAAAAGTGACTGATGGAAGCTAGACGTACGGTCGTATAAATGCGATGAACGCATCCTTGACCACATAAAGTTTCAGGAGGTTTTAATGACATCGTACATTCATACCTAAACTAATATTTTTTCAATAAAGTCTGGGAAGAAACATATTGTTAAAATTGCATTTTCCACGCCACCTCTGCATATGCAACTGAACTGAAAGTTCCGCGTATCATGAGGGTCAATAGGCAATTGTCACATTTTGAAGATAAATCAGGGAGTTACATTACTGGTCACAAGCAGGGCAAAGGCGCGTAATTACCACAGGCCTCTAATTAAACAGCAACCGAGAGCCGATCGATGTGGTGGTCGCCGAGGCAGCTGAGCAGGCCTATAGCTCCCTTAGGCCTACACGTCACCCACACACGACACCTACGCTTCAAATCAACCAAAGGGTGCATGTATTGTTGACCGTTATATGCGGCGCATTATTTGTTGCCGACTCATAACACGTCATGAAAGATTTGTCAACAATATTTTATTGTCAAAATCTGATTCCAATGCGTTATATTTTTTAGTTACAAGACCTCAAATTTTTCAGAGTCTTGTTCCCTTTAGCCGAATCAAGAAATTTAACGCTTCGTCATTCATATTTTGCACCATAGTAGCCAACCTGCATCGCACGGTCTCCCATATGAATGCTATTTCAGTGAGAACTTACTTAGGAAGAATAATGACAGCACGTTTGTTGCATCATGTGCAAACTTTAAAATTAATTTTAGTAGCACGGTAATTTTGAAAATAATTCAATAAAATCAACAAAATTTTTTACTATCCATGACTCGTTTATCGCGACAGACAAGTAACAGGATGAAGAGCATTTGACGCATTGATCTCTGTTCAACTTAAGCCCTGCTACAGTAGCGATCTTTGCGACTGGAAGCGATAAAACGAAGAAAGGCGAGTAACCTTTCCACGCATACCGACAAGGTCACCAGAGAAATTCTAGAAGTCATATTTATTCTGTTTTCCGAATCCAGAGCAGCACTCATGAATAGCAAATAACACCTTAATTCTTGTACTGGTCACAGCCACGCCTCTGATCTTTTCTGGCAGGCAAAATAATAAAGATCCTGCAGCCCTCGAAGGACGATGTGCATCTACAAATAACGAGTTCAAAGGTAAGCAGGGCAAACACGAGGAAAATAAGCAACCACGCCCGTCCTGACCGGCATACGTGCTTTCGGGAGCAGGGGTACCTTCCTGTCACTGGTGGAGGTGAAATTGTTAACGAAAAAAATTCTACAATGTTCCCCATATATGCATCCATGTGAAGCCGATCCAACTTTTTAAGGAAATCCTCTATGTATACGATCTGAGGTACTTAGTATTTCTCCGAACAGTTCTCTCAACGGTTATATGAACAGTCCTGAGAACGATCGACTCTACGGTACCCTGAATGGTCTATTAATGCAATACAGTGATATTAGGCGTCACTAATTTCACAGTAAAATACGTTCAGTGCAAGAAGAATTCAACATCAACATGTGACACCAACCCCCGATGTCCTTTTAGCGAACATGCAAACTTGATTTCTTGAGATGTCGAGGGTCAATTTCTGAAGAGGTTAGGCGTCCTCGCTGGTGACAAAGGTTGGTGAGAAGAAAGTTCCTTTGGCATTTTTTGTGTTCTATAAAGTTAAATTCTATGAAGACCATTAAATTATAATGTAAACACAAAATACGAGCAGCGTTCGTTTCAATCACAATAAAACTAATTCCACTTCTCGTGCTTCAGATACCTAATCTTGCAGGCACAATATACTGTGCACCGAACATGTAACAATATCAACAAGCAAGCATATCAAGAGTTTAGACTTCGAGCTAAACTAGAGGGTCGGCAGATCAAGGATGCCCGCCGAAGCTTTTTCGCGGCGTCTGTGTGAGAAAAGGCCCCAGGAGACAGAAGGCTTCATCTCAGGCGCAACACTGTCTTATAAAGATTAATGCATAATAATATTCGTTATGATTAGTAAAGCATCAAAGAAGGTTGCTACTTCTTGTCAGTTCAAAGTAATGCGAGTCTCTGTTATGACGAATCACGCTACTTAAAGATTCTGCACATAATAAACAAAACTAGCGATTGCAAAACCAAAAGACCGAAAAACTGTCACTGCAGTGAACTACTCGGACGCTATGAGTCGATCAACTGCATGTTGTAACTAGGTACAGAGATATACGCCTTACACTCAGACAAACTAAGGGGTCATGTTGAGAGTGACTTTCTGCACGCAGCAGTGGAACATCCTTTAACCGGGCTAAACAGGGTCAAGTTGACCTACACAAGGGTTAGAAGTGCATCGCTGTTTGAACACAATCTTTCAATTTCTCCAAGTGTTTTATTCTTGTTGTGAACACAATCTGTTCCCTTCCTCACCGAGATGCGGACAACTGGACAGATAACGTAGCCACTTTCACTCTCCATCGCCTCATTAGATTGTACCATCCTTTAGTCGAGTTAGCCCAGGCATTTTACGACTGAACCAAAGATTTTCGGCAAAAAACGTTACAACTGAAGCCCAAGTGGGAGTAAAAATTTATTTATTTTGTTGAATCAAATATTTTAACGAAGGCAATAGAGGTTTTGTTTATATCAACGAGTAACGATTAAGATAAACTCCTATATAAACTCGTGATCGAATATTGGCTTAAGCATTCAAGATTTCAATCAGAATTTCCTGCGCTGGTCACGAAAGTGGGCTCCATGCGCCACATGGACATCGCCGAATCTAATTTATGATTCACTTTATCCAACCTCAGGTCTCCTCTACACTAACTACGTAGAATATTTCTTTGTTTCAGGTATAACTAAGTAGAATATCTTTCTTTCAGGTGTAGATAAATTTATCTCTAATGCTGACATCTTCCTACTAGGCATATAAATGAGACAACATTCATTGGTAAGACATTTATTAGAAATTTTGTAGAGAAAAATTATGATGTGTGGGTGTGTCGGCGTTTATATACAAAATAACAGTCTAGGTTTGGCGCCATCTTTCACAGAAAGAAATAAAAATAAATTCATTAACATAATCAGCATATATATTGTTCTAGTCAAGACACAAAACTGACGCTGAAGTCGAGTTATCTCCACGCATCGAACTTAATGAGACGCTCGCCACCCTCAAATACTCGTACGTTAATGCAAATCAAGAAATTACCACCGCGTTACCACTAAAAAATACAATGACGAACATTGTTAACGAGTTAAACAAACCCGGAAAAAAATTCGGCTACTTTTGAAAAATTAATGTAGTTGGAATCATGAAATAAAGATGCGATAAATTACAAGTGACTTATTGAATGGGTGGTCGTTATTCGACAAGTGGAGTGGAGATCTTGTTTCATTAAATTATCAAGGATAATTCATTATAGATATTTGTGGGAAAAATAATAAGCGATGGCGGAGCAGTGACAATAGTAGCACGTAGGGGGGCGAATATTCTAAAAAAAATCAACTCTTGCAGCGCGAAAATAGAAATAATATAAGTAAACGATATCTGACAACATAAGGAGAGACAGAATAAATCACACTAAGAGCATAAAAGTCGGAAATAACGGCCATAAATAAAAACAAATGTAAACAACAAAACCTGAGTCGAGCGCAAAGAATTGAAGATCACAACACCCGCATTGCATCATTATACACGAAAAATTCCGTCAATCTTATCGAGTTAAGATTAGAATAAAATAATGTTTATATAGTATGTATACATTAAAATTATTACCTGCTCAAACTGGTATAGCCCAGTCAAACGTATTGGTCTTGCGCGTTACCTGTCCTTGTATACTGCAACTCGAGACTTACTTTATTACACTCAAGCAAAGAGACTTACGATACCCACAGCTGCCCAACGAGCAGGCAAGTAATCACTAATAGGGCACACATGCCCACGAAAGTAATTATTGACAGTCATTCAAATGAAGGATAATTATCGACAGTCATACAAATGAAGGATGAATGTTCAAATCTTTCAAGGTTAGGAAAATGCAATTTTATAACCTGGTGAGGAAGGCGAATTTGTTTGCGCAAACTTTTAATTAGAGGGCAATGTAATGACCAAATTATAACCCAGAAATAAGTACCTACCGCTATTCAAATTTGCTCATCAAATTCAATATTGCTTCACTGGTGCCATATTTGAACAAGTGATAAGATTGTATTGAATTCATCCATAAATTGTGAAAATTGAAACCTAACGTAAGCTGGCACATCGAATAAATGAAAGAAAATTGTATTGAAATTGATAAAGAGCGTTAAAAATTGAATGGTTTACATTAGGTTGGCGATATCCTAGGGTGAAAAGCAACAATTTATATGAAACGAAATACCTGTATCAGTTGTTAATCAAAAAACCTGCTAAGCGAGGTCAAGTGTTGCGACATTTTGTACTTTCCAAACACTATTTGGAGAAGGTTGTGATATCAATTCTATAAAGAAATAACTACAAATAACGTATAATAATAAGTAAAGAACACGCCAGAAGAGAACACGAATAACAAATATTGCTCCACGTGCAAGCTAGGAGACAACAAAGAAGAAGAGGTTGTGACGTAGGCAGCATAAATACGCTCATCTCCACAGCAGAACGTTGTAGGTGATGTAGGGATGAATTGTGCCGATATTTTGCGAACAACTTAGAGCCTCCAGTCATTGAGTAAGATAAGACTCGATGGCCACACACGCTTGAGGTGATCATGAAGAGGGTTTTGGAAGACTAATAAGAGCATTACCTGCATTGCTTCAATGTCAATTGCTGAGGGAGTTACAGGATAGAAAGGCCTGCACAGCCATCCTATTAGCAAACTCATCGGAACGTATTCAATGATTCCGTAAACAAGTGGCTAAGTCTTACAACTGAAATTTTGATTTTATCCATACACAGAAGCTATGTGTTCAATGAACAGGAAAACAGCGGCATGCGTAGTAGCTACACACAACATAATGTCCTATTTAGAAAAATGAAGTTACAGACAGCAAATAATTCTCACTAAGTAATTAGCAAACGGCAAAAATGAGAGAACATGCCAACGAGAACGCGTTCTTCATAATGCTATATATCTATTCACTAAAAGTCTAAGTTACTGGTTAATATACAAATGCATTTATATAATAACTATTACAGTACTGCATAATACCCAATAGTTGGCTTGGCAAAAGGACCCGTTCTAAAGTTATAGTTCGAGATGCGCAAGCGAAGACCTGAGCCAATCGCTATTACATATTTACACGCTTGCTAGTTCATAGTCACGAACAGACCGGTGAGTCAGCACATATTTGGATCGCTCTAAGACAACGTCATAACTGAGTTACGCAGAAACAAGCTAAAACATAAGCATCATATGTAGTTCATTTTCAATTACTTGATTTAAATCAAAGCATTAAATGAAGTTTCGGTGTGATCGAAAAATCAAATATTCAACCCATAAGTTGCAGAGCGGCATAACATAGCAAATATTAAAGCTCATAAGAAAACTAAACAGACATGTTAGTCAAGTCAGTTGTGGCGCAAAAATTTCAACGCTTGGATCAAATGGTATTGCACCCCACGCTTTCTGAAACGTTGATGTTGAACATCACTTCGATAACTTTTGACCTGAGGGTTCCTTCAGTTACGTGATACGGTACGCATCATAAGCTCACGCATTTATCGTAGGTGCTCCAAATTTTATACAATTCAACACTTGACGAATTACATGACAACATAGAAACAAATTTATATAGGTACCCATTTTCGTCTCGTTTAATATATGGTACTTTACACACGAACTCTAAGTCTAATCGAATCAAGATACCTTTCACCAAACACCGTTCGCTGCATCCTCCAATTTCCATGACGTGAATGAGGCTTACGAGGGAAAGTCTAATCAAACTCGGACGAGTGGAATGCTGGTGAGCTAAAACTTAAGTAAATCTTGCCCAGGACTCGTCCAACGTCACGCAGGAGGAGGCTAAGCTCAAGCCTAGTAATTTGAACGTGCGTAATTATATCCCGCACCAGTCAATGGTCCAATGAAATCTAGACACCGATATATGCAGAAAACATGTACAGATAAACCGTCTAGAGAGAACACTTAGACAAAATTTCAGTCATTTATCAAAATAAACATATTCAATTCATTATACTGGCTATATATTCTGTTGTTAGAAAGAAAGAAAAAAAGCTACAATCGCACAAAGCCTGACAAGAAAAAAAGCTACAATCGCACAAAGCCTGACGGAGAAAGTTACCCGGCAAAGTTAAGTAGATAAGTAAGCATTTAAAGAATAAAGAACAAATACGAATGGTCTAGTTTCCAAAGAAATGCTAAGACCGCTCATCACTATCTATAGAGCTGCATTTATCAATCAATGAAACTCTGAGCAGTAGTCTGTACTAGCGCGGGCCAACTAATCATTGAATACAAATCCATTAGTAACAGAAACGTACGATATCTGTGGCTCTTCAATCCACGAAGGCCACATTTAAATGGATCATTTCCAGCATTTCAACTTGCATCCGAAAAAGTATCATGTAGATATTATTCATGTGGCGGAGCTTTTTGCTATATAATTTCAGAAAACAATTTTTCATTTACCGCAGGACAGATTTAAGTAGCGTTCATGAATTAAACCCAATATCCTTAATCATGCATAGCAGGAAAATGTCCAATATGATAAAGTTTCAAATAAAGCCTGAAATTTGGATCACCACTTGTGGCGGGCCAATTTTTTCATTTCCTCATCGACTTTCAATGAACCTAATTGCAACTTACGTCCATGAAACAATTATTTCAGAAACATGAATTCAAATTGTCATTAACCTTTAGATCGAAAATAAATTAGAATTTTCGTAATGAGCACCATAGCAACGAGTTGGAAAATACGCGAGTTGGCCAATGCGTGGGAATTACGTTTGAAAATGCTGAGCAACGATGAATTGCGATAAATTACAATAAGGGTTGCCGATTTATTCTCAAAATACAATTATTAACGATTGGATTCAATGATTCAGGATTCTAGAAAACCCCAGTAATCAATTAGTACAACGTATTTGCTCATAACATTGAATTAGAAGCGATTAGATCTCAGGAGCCAAATAGTACACATATGAACACGGATCAAATTGGTTCAGATTTTCTCCGGCGATTCATTATAAGCACAAGGAAGAAGCACGTACAACGTAAATAATGATAGTAATTCACGGATTAATTACGTTCAATGATGGCTAGAAGTTGATCGAAATAAATTGGGCCAATTAGATTATGCATCATTTACGATGCAGTGCACAACAAACAGTTTGATAAGTCGAGAACCGCGATTTGGGGCAACATTTTTCTTTTTTTTTACTCATGGGAAATTGGAACAAATTTAATATAAACAATAAAACAAGCCATCATGGCGAAAATTCTGATGCTAAATAAATCGAAATATATAGATAAAAATCCATGCCTAGACACTTTGAACAAAGATAGCAGTACTCATAGATTGACTAGCTCTATATTGCGTTGTAAACTATTATAAAGATTAGCAATAGAATTTACCCTCAAGGAAAAATGTGTATCTCGCCTAGAAAACTCCTGCAAAATGAAATCTGCTGCACGTGCAAAAAAATATAGGTATCAAGTTAACTGGCGCCGGACAACACCTAAACGACAATGAGTTTGATATCTCCCTGTAAGTCGGAAAGTTTCATCAATGCCCATAACATACGTTTGGTAAAATAGACTGCAAAACAGAAGTTTCTAGCATACCTCAGTGTTTGCAAGTTTGTACTTATGACGCTTCATCCAAAACGACCGCTTGAAGGCAATGATGAACTGCAGTAAAAGCTTTGATCACCGAGTTGAGTACGACCCGTCTTTCCCTTGACTACCCACGACACATAAATTACAGTTCATGTATACAGATTCCCAGCGAATAGCCATCAGATGGCAAACAATATGAACAACCACGGCCAAACGACTGCAACTCTCCTTCTCTTTGGATTGACTGCTATCAAAACTCGTAAGGAGGGCTTGAGGTCAAGTACACGTTGTTTCCTCAAACCTTCTTCCAATGTCAATAAAAAGCTAGGCTCATCCGGCGAAGACTGCACAACTATAATTAGCAACCATATAAGTAAATTACCTGCTTATTCACTATAACTATATCTACAATATCTTCGCACAGAATGATATATGCATTTTCAGTAAACATTACGAGACTAAACTGATTACTTGCAGATTTTGAGGTACAGCGATGGCTATTTTTCAACGTCGCAAGCCCATGCATTGTTTGCAACAGACTGCAAGCCTATAATTACTAAATCTATATTGTTTTCTCTGAAATCTAAGAGCTATGATTAACAAAGGGTTAGAGGCGCGCCACGGGAACACTGGCGGCCACAGCGTCAGAAATGATACGGAGGATATGGAGAAGAGTACTGAGATCGACTATCATCTGGCAGCGGCCGCGAGTACGCTTGGTAAGCCCGGTAATCGGGACGAAGTGTGGAATACTCCAACGGGTAATACGTTGGGTAAACCTGAGGTAGATGAGGCTGCATACCAGAGGAGTGAGGTAATGTTACCTGCGACAGAGCGGCAGCAGTTGCCGGGTACAAGGCATCGTGAGTGAGGGATGCGGACGACAAAGCTGTTGCAAGAGTAACTGGAGGTAGAGATGATGAGGCAGCTAGAGTTGGAGGGGAGTAGAGTTGGGCACTGTTGCTGTGCCCGTCCATGGGGGAGTAAAGAGTTTCAGTTCCACTATAAACAGAAGCAGGCGCTTCACTGCTGGGATCACTATATTCCGAGGTAGTTGAATGAATAACAGGCATCACAGTCAGAGAAGAGGCTGTAGGAGGGACCGAGATGGTGGGTAGAGGTTGGGGAGTTTGGGCTAGCGGAATGGACAGAGGTTGCGGAGTTGGAACAAGCGTTGGTTGAGGAGTTAGAGGCTGCGGTGTGTGAGAATGAGGTGTCATTTGAGGCTGAGGCGTGACAGTAGCGGCGACTGGAGTAGGCGGAGGCTGTGATGACATTTCATTTTCAGACGTCGGTTCTTGTTTATTGACGTCTTCGCTGTGGCGACCAGTGTTCCCTGAATCTAGTCAGTATTGTTCCGGAGGAGCAGACGTGGGCAAAGCTTGGCTCGAATTCTGATGAGGAGGCGTAGTTTGCTGGGATAAAGAAGTAGGCTGCGATTGCATTCCCTGAAGGTTGCCCGATTGCACGGCCATATGATCGTTGGAGAACTGCTCTATTGTCATCTCCTGATGCAAGAAGTCTTGGTGAGACAGTCCGTCCTCGTATTTGCCTCGTTTAAAACGCCCATATAACGACGAATATGGAAGGTTGTAATGAATCGCAGCCTGATTTATGGACATTTCACCCACCCTGACAACTTCAAGAGCGTCTTTCATGTCCTCTTCAGACCACGGCACACCCTAAACCGATTGCAAAGAAAAAGTCATCAGAATTAACATTTTCCAGCCGACTATGACCAAATTAACGCTTAAAGTAACTATCGCATCGTAGTAAGTCATTCTTCTCAATTAATTTAAAGTATATTAATAGTAAGACAAAAATACTCGCCTGATATTTGCTGAGCTCTATGCCCTCTCTCCGACACCGGCCGTACAGGGTGCCCGTGGGTATGCCAAACTCTTGAGCAGATTTCTGCACACTCATGCCACCGCGTATAGCGTCAAGAGCTTTATTAAGATCTTCGGGGTTCCAAGACGGTTGAATTGCAGAAAAAGGCGAAGATAATTTAATCCCTTCTTTACGAGCTATTTTGTACAAAGTTGAATTTGGAATGCCGAACTCCTTAGATGCCCTGGGAAGAGGAAAATAAATCGTGAAGAAATCAGCACATCAATATCTTGTACAGAGGCAAATTAGAAACATTAAATACCAAACAATCAACGTACAGATGGAAATTTTTCAACTTGTGGCACAGGTAAATTATTCAACATTTAAAAAGTTGTCAACATTGCAGTACCTGTTAGCCGAAAGCCTGCCACTTCTAAGCTCCTCCAGGGCACCCGCTAAGTCGTGTTCACTCCAAGTTTTATTGGCGCCTTCCTTCTTAGGAGTCTCAATGCCCATGCGATGCGCTCTCTGCCATAACGTCGTCGCAGGAATCCCGAACACCTGAGCAGCTCTGCTTAACGACATCTGCGAATTTCGCAGAGCATCCAGTGCTTTGTCCATATCTTCGTCGGTCCAAAGTTTGCGCCCAGCTGGTGTTCCGCTCAAACTGTCAGAGTCTGGAAATTCCACGACGTACTATCTGAGTGACGTTATATCTACACTATTTGCCCAAAAGCTTAGCGTGAACAGATTCCTATGACCCAAGTACGTAACACAAATATTTTAACAATTTCATCACTTGCCTAAAAACTGACGATAAAGATGTTAAGATAATAGGCATAACTTCGAAGAGATAATTTTTCACGCGTAGTCCACATAGCACAACATATCGCTCTCGAGGTCTTGCAAAGATGCTAATGAATTCAAGTCACCCGTTGCAAACTGGTAACAAATTCCACTAAATTCGGTTTAATTATAACACCGCATTTATGAATATTAAACTCGCTTCACTCCTGGTCCACTCACCCGATGCATACTGAGAAATGAATTCACTTGAAATCTGATCAAGGACTCTGTATATTTGGTTTGATTTGATTTAATTTGAAACGAGTGTATTGCTGAATATAAACTGAGACACGCTCCATTGCTAGCCCACTCACCCGACGCATACTGAGGATTGGCGGAGGGCATGAGGCCAAGCAGCTCTGGAGTGACAGTCATCCTCTGGCCAGAGGGGTCATTGGGGTCAGGCTGCAGGTGCTGCCCTACGCTCATATGGCCGCTCTGCTGGTGACCTTGACCTTGCTGCTGTTGTTGTTGTTGTTGCTGCTGTTGGTGCTGGTGGTGTTGCTGGTCTTCGGTTTTGACGTAATACGCATCGTAATCTGGTGCACTGGATCCTTGGTTCACTCCGCTGGGGTTGTCGTCTTAGACAATACACGACGGAAAGTCAACCAACCAAACGATCAACTTGTGAGTCATATCAACATCATGAAGACATGAACACTTCAAATGAAATAGGTACCAATATGCACAGCAACGTATTATTTCATAACTAATACCTATATATTATTAAACATACACAAAGTTAATGCTAAAACGATCTACATAAATTGCGTTCAGCCCAGCAACATAAGCTTCTTTTCGATTGGTAGTAATGAAGAAACCAAGCAAGAAAGCCCACATGAAGAGTAGGCAAAAAACTGAACAAACAAGGCCCGATTCTCGGTGGTGTAACACGGACATGCAAAATAGTGTAAGATTCATAAGATTATAAAGAGAGGAATGTTCATGCGAAGCTCATACAGTGAGGCGATCATCATGCAATGCGCAGCATGCGACAACAATCAGCAGTAACACAGGCTACAAGAAAAGACTAGCATGAAACCGTAACTCACCAATAAAAAGGACGCGAACAAATACGTGAGGATCAAATACACAAAGGATATACGATTCAAAGAATTAGCATCAAGTGGGTGATAAACCAAGGAGATTCAAAGAGAAAAGCAATATGAGGAAAAAAATAAATGAATAAGCGATGCGATTCCACTGCCTAACGTTCTGCAAGAACCCTTGAATACATGAAAGAGCTCCAACCCTAAATAAATTAAGGGAAGCATTTAGACCTTGTCGCTAGTGACATACAATTAACGTCTGCGGATGTGAACGTGCACTGCGTCGACACAAAATCAACTTAACTAGAACATGGATGAGAACTACATGCTACTCGGAACTACCTCGCAACCATGGAGAGCAGTAACCAAGCATTGCTATCAACTATATCAGTAGAGGACCGAATGATGTTCGGCGCCGAAATTCCAACGAATTACAGGCTCGAACTACAGCCGATTTACCGCTAGCAGAAATGTCGGCAAAGGAAAGGTTTCACACAGAAAAGTGTTCCAAAACCACTAGGTTTCTCCGAAAATAAAAATTGTGTATCAAATGGATTCTAATACAAGCAGTCAGAGAGGGGCAAACTCTGGGCTTCAAAATTGAAAGTTTATCCAAATGGAGTAGGAGCAAAATAAGTGAGTTTATAACACCACGAACTCTCTACGTTGCAAACTTCTTGATCACTGGATCTCTCTAAGCATGAAAAACATCAAAATTATTCCCAAAGTTAACTCGTGTAAAATCCAAGTTAAAACAAAGTTAACTCGTGGAAAATCCAAGTTGTTTTGGAACGATTTTAAGCGAGTGTAGAGCGACACACAAGACTACAGGGCAGCTACCAGACTCGCCTGGATCTGGCAGCTTACCTGTGAGGAGGGCAACTGAGGGCCCCAGTTCGGGCAGCGGGGGAGGCCCGTGAGCTGCAGGAGGATGACTGGATATTGCGGTGCCAGCGTGCCCTTGTGAGTGTCCGTGGTGAGTGTGAGCGGCAGGAGGGGCATGGTTTGGTGGGGGAAGAGTGCCCCCTAGCACCGCAGCTTGGGGGAGACCTATCGTACGGTCACAATAAGCTTCATCATATTGCCACTGTGTCACGCCCTATCATACGGCCATAATGTTACGGCGAATGATGGGGCCACACACGCAATGCTCGTCTACTCCATTAACCGTCAGTCATCGTTAACAAGAACCAATATTCTGGACAATTCCTCAGCTCAACAAATAAGCGTCTGTTATTTCGAGTGCAAGAAGTGCGGCCAATACGAATTTGAACTATAAAATTCGGCGCCCTTAGCGTCTGCATAAACCAAGAACAGCTAGCTCTTCGCGCCGGCACCGTGTAACTGGGTCTCTTAGAATCTGACAAATATTCGAAATATCTAGAAGTTTAAACATTAAATGCATTAGCATTTAATTTATAAACTGGTCTGCTTTCAATGAAAACTTAGAAACAAGTGTGTAAAAAAATCGATTGAAGCATTAGCTATTTTCTTGCCAAGAAAACTTGAGCAATTACGAAGTCCGACCCATGCGGCTAAAAAAGCATTTTTCGAACAGCCTAAAGAAAAAACGATGGATCAATTTAATGTGTAATTCGTTGAGTTATTAAGTGTTAAATGCCGTAGAGAACAAATACGTGACATAGCAAACTGAACAACATAATTGACCGAATATTCAAATAAAGTGTTCCAAAATCCAGTAGGAATTGGATAGACAAGGCAAAAATTTTCCCTTCAACAAGTCCCTCGTCAGAGGCGATACCGGACATTTGAAGGTAATTTAAAATGAATACCTCTGAGCACTTCTGGAAACAGCCAAAAACCTTCACGTGCCTCTCAGTATAAAATGCGAGGTCTCTTCACGTTGTGATTCCAAAGTTCGCAGACGTTTTGTTCTCAGTATTCCGGCGTCGCAACAAATATAGAGTACCGGTATACACATCTCCCTAATCGCAATACCCCTGCAGCTTCACAGGCAAACACTGAGCGCATGAACATTAATTGTTTTCAATCTGGAATTGAGTCAGATCAAGAAAAATGAAGTAGAATGTAGGTTACGTTTAGTAAGCGATAACTTCCGAGTCCTTTTGCAAGCGAAGGCAAAAACTCATCGATAGGTGCATGAAAGGAGTTATCCAGTGAAAATTTAGCAAATGAGGATGAAAATGGGGACTACTCGACCAACCCGTTTATTTTAAAATAAGATGAGCAACTGATAAGCAGAAAAATCATTTCAGATAAACTAAATCAAGATACTTTGTTCAAATCGGATCAGGCCTTACATTGGGGAAAATGGTTTCTTAAAAAGTCAAGATAAAAATGCTAAGTTTCTCTTACCTCGACTGGTTTTAAAGGACAATAAAATGTAATGGTAGATGGAATAACTCATATATACAATTTACGCTCAAGAAGGCGTTAACCAAACCATGTAGCCGTAAAGACGCACAACAATTCAGTGCCGTACATAATATAGACGTGACAAAACCAGGTGGCGTTCGAGAATAAATAATAAATGTGTCTATAGCTCATAAGCTCTAGAACATGCGTGAAATATTTTAAATTGTAAGATAAATGACATGAGCAAAGGTTTCAATGCGAGAGATCATGTTATATAAAACAAGGTTAAGGAAACATACCGAACGGGAAAGTCAATTTCAGGTAGTAATAGGCAATAAGGATCAGCATACCCGCCCATAAATGTACAGTGGCGGGATGAACTTGGTCCTATCATGCTTCATGATTAGAAGGAGGTAATTAAAATGCCGGAGCATGAATTTACTTGGGTGAGTTAACGAGAAAAATTATTTAACAGGAGCTGGGTTTGAGATACGCTTACGCATGAATTGTGCGCGAGGAATTTGGTTTGAGGGACAAAACCGCCCAATATTTTGAGAATTAACTGTAAAGTCAGTCGGCTATTGTAAACGAATGTACAGGAAAAAAGTATCTACAAAATAGTTATAGAGACGCCGGTTATTGAGTTGTGCTCTATTTTGAATTTGGGAAAGTGTGACTAACACGATCTCACACTAGTATATTAAAGCCGTGACACGAATCGAGAAATTCATTGCAAGTGAGGGGAGAATTAATTTAAAGTGAACAATGACTACATTTCTGCTGTGGATTTTGTGGAGGCAGGCGTAAACACTTCATCGTAAAAGTGACCTGCAACTCAGAGCGGTAAATTGTGGACTCATGCAGAGAAAAAAACGACTAAAGCGGCATGATCATGAGAGTCCGTGATCGCGTCAAGTCAGCTCACTTATAACTAATAATAATAATACTTATTATAACTAAAAAGAATAACGTATCCACAGGCTTCAGGAAGTCAATGTCCACCAACACATAAGTTACAGTGGACGTGAAACTCCGATGTTTTCAAAAATATAATTGCATGTATATTGTACAAGAAAAATCCCAGATACGTTAGGAGAATTTGGGAATTAATATGTACGTCCCATGTTAAAAAATTCCTTAAAGCTAAAAATAATGTATTCAGCGACCATTCCTTCAGCCCGACAAATAAATAATCAAATAGAAAAGAGTTTATAAAGAAGTCATCAAACTACGCGGTACTCACCATTATGCTGTGACTGTTGTTGCTGCTGCAACTGTTGCGTCGGGTCCTGAAGGTAATGGGCGCTATGGCTTCTCTGCATGTCGTTCACTGATGGCAGCGAAGGGGTGGTCGACACCACGGAAGACATACCGGGGCAAACATTGCTTGTAACGCCCGCAGAACTCGACACTAACCCCCCTGAGATACTGAAACTGTTCGAGCCGTTGCTGTGCTCGTCTTCTGATAGCTCCGTTTTGATTCTCTTGCTTGTCTGCGGCAGAGAGAAACACATGGGAGATTAGTTCACGCCCCAAATAAAACTAGGAAATTAAAATTACATTTGGCTTTCTGTTCATAGTAGCTCGATTAGCATCACATATAAAAATATGTACTAGATGGTAATGGTATACACTTTACAATGAATTCTGCAAACAAGAAACTAGATTATCACCTAAATATTATGGGAATTTTTTCCTTTTGCATCAAGTTCTAGTAATAAAAAGAAGAATATAACGCATGAATAATTTCAATGCTACTTACAGTTAAGGAACAATAAATGTTTCTACTCGCTATAAAGGTCCTTAACAATAACAATGGCATAACACGATCACGATATACTAAGCAGGACTGTCAGCAGGACAGTATAAGCAGGACTGTCACTTGTAAGGGGACGCCTATGGGCGAACCTGTCCTCGCCTGTTGCGATCTTGAGCCCAATATATGACGTGCCAGAAGTACTCACCTGATCCCTGGTACTGGGAGTTCTGGAAGGCAGATGCGGTCGATCGTATCTCTGGCGGCCATACAGAGGAGGCCGTCCGCGGGGCCGGTAGCTGTAGCGCCCTCTGTTCAGAGGTGGCCGCCCTCGGGATTGATGTGCGGGAGAGACGTTGTTTGTGACAGGGAAATTACTTTGTCCGTTCACCTGCATGGCTTTGGAGGTAGGTGTTGCTGTGAAGCCAGGCGGCATATTACTGGGATCATCACTAACTTCACAGAGGCCTTTGATCTTCAAGGTTTCGGCGGCTTGCAGGAGGCTGTGGATTTGTTCTTGGGCAACATCAATTTCGCCGCGGTAAACGAACTCTATTATAGCACGGAGGTCGGTGAAGACGACCTCCCTAGGCATGATGATGATGGGATGCTTGCATGGGTTGTGCTGCAGTACGGCTTGGAAGTATGGGGAACATGCTGCCAGCACCACCTTGTGCGCACGTAACTGAGTGCCTCCTTCACACGACAGGGTCACATCTACGAACACCTGTGGATACAAACAAAATACTCCCATATCATATCTTGAACATTAGGCACCCTCAGCGGACGTGAATCAAGCAAGGCCATAATAAAGTTTACTTGGCCAAGCATTGGTTTGTCTTTGAGGAGCATTGAGGCATCTTTGGCTAGCGTTGAACGAAATGGGCTAAAGGGATGACCTAAAGCAGTATGGCATCTTTGTTCAATAGTGTTATAAAAAACATTACTGGGATACCTTCAGATATTTCAAGTGGCAAGAAAATTGAATAGCTCAATTTTCCCACCCATAAAAACTTACCAATATTTTTGGAAAATAGGCATAAAAAAACATGTATATCAAATGCTTCTATATTCATTACTTACACCTGGGAAATAATCACCTGCCATGTCAACCTACATAAGAGCATATTGTAGGTATTGAATAGTTTAAAGTTCAATATTTATTGCATGAGGCCTGTCTGGTTAATTTTAATACAAAGTTTGATCTTTTGAACATCCAACTGCACGAGGAATCACGTCATTCATGTTACTGTGAACTGCACAGTGGGAGGCAGAGAAACAAATTGCAAAGCCATGCACATTCTAATAAATCCATGAATTTGAATAATCTCATTAGTATCTAATGTAGTTATCAATCAATAATTTGAGTCACCATGATCTGAAGCTACATTGTTATTTAAAAAAAAAAATCTATGTGACTCACTTCTTCCTGAAGGAGTTGGTCAAAGACAGTGGTCATGTTGGTCTGGTAGTTATTCCACCTGAGGCAGAAATGTTCTGAGGAGGGTACAGCGGAAGGAGTGGCAGCTCCCCCACCTCCCTGTGGCGGTACTCCCAAGGGCATGGCCGACATGGGCGCCCCTAGGGGACCACTGCCTCCTATACCTCCACCGCCAGCACCACCAGCGGCAGCCATGTTGCTGCCAGAGCCGCTGCCGACCACCACCCCACCACACCCTGGAGTGGGTGGCGTGCCCGACATTGTGTGCTCACACCAACAAGCCCTACACACAGCCAAACATTCTTCACTTTAAAATTAATTCTTGATTCCATTCATTTGATCATTGAAGTTCCTGTTGATTGATGAGCTCTATTTTAGCATCAATAACTGTGCTACAATAAGAATTGAATTGAATGTGATGTCTGATGCTGACAAATTTTGAAGAAAGAACAAGAAACCTTCATTATGTGACATGACTTGTACGTACAATATTTCAAATAATATACCTATGTAATAATCATAAGTATTTTAGTACCAATAGATAGTAGATAGGTACCACTGTCAGCTGAGCTTCTTTACACTTCTCTTTGATAAAATTTTGGATTCAAGATTTTATCACACAGTTTTCTTAAATTAATTTACAGAAAGATTGCAGTAAAACTGGAGACAAATTGATACAGCAAACAAAATCCATTTGCAATTAAGCATAAATGAATATACATAAGTGTGATGCTCTCTACTTTTTTCACAATTAATTTAGGTTTAAAAGATTAAAAGATTTTTCTCATAATGAATTTGAGCAGAAGCCTCCCAATTCTGCCCCAAATCCATCTGTGCCTGCTGACAAGATTGAACGAGACAAACTTTTAACAAAAATATCATTGCTCCAAAGTCAGATATGTTGGGTGAATCCAAAATCTCCCAGCTCAATCATGCACTTTTATTACTTATTCATGCAAGGTCAATGCCACTCAAGTAAACACAACACTTATATTGGTGGCCTTCAATAAAAATTATTATTTTATCAACATAACTAAAGCACAACTTTCAAGCAAGAATGAAAAGTTTTGTTGTAAGTATCTGTTAATGAGAATCTACAAACCTTAGTTATAACCAGTATCAAAATGTTTTTAATGATGACATAAAGTTGAGTGCAGTGAGTGCAGTTGTGCAACTAGAGCTTTTCTGCTATTTTAGGATCCACATGATTCATCCTAAATGAATTGCGGGAATTATCTTACTGTTAACATAGGGTAAACGCGGTATATTCCGACATCGTGGGTAATTCCGACACCTCTCTAGTTTTTCCTTTATATTAAGCTTTGTCTTAGTTCCATGCATTTGTTGATGGTTGAAATAGTGACGTTATACCTTTGCATGCCAAACTATTGCCAAAACACTAGGTTTGGGCCATCTGGTGAGAAAATGTTGAGATCCAAAGAGAGACAGTGCATGCCACCCAGTGAGATCATCAAAAAATGTATCAAAGTTGATAGTTGACCTTGCTCTACCAAATAGTGATAAACTGTTTGTGTAGAAAGAATATTATGGTTTGAGACTTTTAAATACGTCTGTGAATATATTAGGAATCCTTTTAAGTATAATTGTATTTGCTTATTTCAAGTGGTAAATAAATTTATAGATGATTAAGTTAAGAAACGGATTTAGACACATAAAAACTAATTCTGACACAACTTGAATTGGACACACACAGCTCGTTCCAAGCTGTGTGCAAAAATTAAAATTTTCTTAATTAAAAGCTTAACAGCTGTTCATTAAAAGCCTAATAAGGTAGTGTTCAATATTCAATAGTGTTCTAATTCAAAGCCGTGTCATATTTCAATACAGCTCACACAGCGATCGGAATTCGAACACAAGGATGTCGGAATTACGTATTAGTAGAGTTTGAAGCACAGCTGGAATTTGTCTCACAACGTGCCGAATTTCGTCACACACAGCATCGGCATATAGGGATTTGGTAGGTTTGCATACTAAAGGCTTTTAAATAAATATGGCAACACTTTGTGACGTTTCATTGTTGCTGCCGCGTAGTGCAGTGTTTCGAGAGTTACATATAGCAAACAGAACTCGAGTAACACTAACACATACGGTTATTTTTTTATAGTTTTTCATTTCACGATGCGTCCTTAATGTGTCGGAATATACTGCGTTTACCCCAAGTGTATAATAGGGCAACATGCTAAATGCTTCCAAATGCATTGAAAATTTGTCACTGAAAAGCTGCACGATTTCAGTAATAAGTAGGAAAATTCCAATCCTAGCAAGTGAAGATCAGTCTAGCTTAGAAAATTAATTACTTTGAGTACATCAGCAAAATAAAAAATCGTGTAGTTTCAGACTTCAGGATTCATTTAAATAGGTGCACTGGTACTGGTTCATTAGAATTCTGGCAGTTTGCTAGCTAACCCAATATGCACAATTTTAAGAATACATTCTAGCCTAGCTAGTAAAGATACTCAATATTTTATTCTAATTGATAGGTATTATGTACTGCTTTGATAAATTTCAATTTCTTCGTCATTTATTTGCTGACCCAATTAATGGTTCAGAACTTCAGATTTCCACCTGTTCAAAATCTATTCCCAAACATGTGGGCTTCAAACCTCCATCACTATCAGTATCAGTGTTCAGTCCATACTCCATAGCTAGGCTATTCATGTTTAGACTCAAGTCATGCAGTCATGCTCAATTTCATAACTTCTATTCATCAAAAAATTTGTTTTGATTATAATAAATTAAATAAGTTCAACAAACTCAAAATTTGTCTAAAATAAATGTTTTCCTGATTAGAATCTCAAACAAGATTTAGCTAGGTAGTAATGGGCAGTCCATACTCCATACCTATTAGAAATACCTAGCTAGGCCTTCTGGCCTAGGCCTGTAGCCTATTCCAAGTTTTCAGTCCGATTGAAAAAAAAATACGGAATAAAAAATCATGCATATTGCACAGCAATGCGGTTGGATAATAAAGAATTATTCATGAAGAATTACTCCATGTAATGGAATTATCAAGTTTTTCTCTTAGACTTTAGAGTTGAGATACCTACTTTCCCGCACGGGCCAATTCGATACATCTTCGTCTTAGAATATAATCACGATATTGCCTCATTACTCACAACAAACACAACCACCAACTCCTTTTCAGAAACTATCTCAAATATTACAATTACATCCATTAAAACAGGTTAATGGGGAAAATATTCTCGGAATTGAAGTCGCAATCTGCCATTTTTCTTTGCAGTCCTCCCTTCTTCGCAATTTATTGTCGTTGCCACTTCTCGATTATGCATGCATTTCATAGCGGTAATAAACAATATAACAGCACAGTGACCTTATTATGGTCGCATAATATGTGACCTACCTTATAATTAAGTAACTTTCCTCAACACCAAAAGAAACAAAGATAGACTAGAGAAGAAAAGCGACCCGGTTCTTCTTCTCCTCCATTTCCTTATTTCGTCTCGTTCCCATACTTGATTTTGTAACAATTTAATAATTTTTTTCGAAGTTTTAATTTATTTTGACTGTTTACCTTTGATTGAATTTTTTTTACAATTTCATTAAGCCATATTGAAAAACCATTAAAAGTACTTTCGTAAGTTTATTCAATTGTTTTGGTTTCTGTTAAGCACATGCTAGCCATCGGTAAATTCAAGAAGCAAATAATGCCAGATACCACTTTTCGAACGTTTACCTATTCTAATTTTTGTATCAATTACCAAGAAACATTTCGACTATAGGTAGTTTTAATTTATGGTCACGATACTTTAATAAAAGTTGAAAACAGTTTTCTTCAATAAATCGGATTTTAAGTGACCATAATAACTAACACTCTACCCGATTCAAGAGATGTTCAGAAACAGAAATAAACAATCATTAATTGCAGTTTATATCGATAAGAAGACTTAGAAATTCTATTAAGCGCAGTTTTTATATCACCAGCTTTGTCAGTATATAACAGATTTCTATTTTATAGAGCATTTTTTATTACCAATGTCGTTCTGAATTTTTTTGATGTTCGACCTGTAAACTCACGCTGGTCACGAATAAAAAAAAATATACGTGAGAATAACCTGCTGTCTACACGTGATAGTAACATAATGATTTCTCCCGAGTTTAGGCATTTTGCATGCTTTTTTAAATTGTAAAAATTAGACAAGTGAATGAGAAATTTCTAAACCGTGGCAACGCATAATAATAAATTGATTTGTTTGGGTGTCAGGCCTATTTGTTTGGGTGTCAGGCCGATTTGAATGCATATGAATATAATTAAGTGACTGATTCATGATAAAAAAAACTTGCTTCTTATTGTTACTCAATTTATCGGCGTAAATTTTGTTCAAGTTATGTATACCAAAAGCTATGGGTATAAGCTAATTTACCAATGCTAATATTCGACGTATGATGAAACTTTATGTTATCTATACGACCATACCTCATTCACGAAACTTAGGCATTATCTATTCACTATTCTATAAATAATTGAAGCGGCAATGAAAACAAAGCAACTTAAAAAAAAAACAAGAAAAAGCCTTCTGGTATGTTTGATTATACCTAAAATTCCAGCCGATTATTTCTTTTTTTGTATCGGGAAGCCCAGCACCGCTTGAAAGCAAGAGTTTCTCGTTTGTTTTAATTTTCTTACTCACTGATGCATTGCTGGCTATGTAAAGCATGGTACTACTCGATATAATTTTTTGAAGAACAAAAAAAAGCATAAGTGACGTAGAAATTTACCTTCACAATGTATCGGAACAGGCCTCTGAAATGGTTGCTATAGATTCGTCTGAAACATGAATGTGTGACCGCAAATTGTACCTGAGATCGGTCAGGTCTTCTTAGGAAACGCTTTTTACAAAACTGGTGCCCATTGTTTCAAGCATCATTTATCTTTTTAGCGTAATATAAAGCGAAAAAAATATCCAATAAACTTATTTCTAGAACAGGAGAGAAAAAGCATGCAAATGTTCTTCAGAGAACATCTGACGATTCATGGTGAACGATTCGTGACAAAGTGAACAAATGAGGTATGTATTAACATTTGATTTATTGAGGTACGCTTCCTTAAATAAACGTTATTTCATCATGATACATTATCGTATCAAATCCAGATTTGTGTGATGAAAATAGCGGTGATGATTACAGTTTAAATGGTTTACTGAAAAATCAAGATTAGAATTCCACACGATAAACTTGCCTGGGACTGCATGGAAGATGCCCTTTTATTATTAAAATAAAATTATAATTCCATGAAATATTTCCCAGCAAACTGAACGCAAACTTTTACTTTGAAATTCGCGATATACAGTACAGAAAAACCAAGCAATGTTATCTGTTACTATAAAATTCGACGTTATGTAATTAGATGATAAAATGTAAACTTTATTCCATCACTTGTCCTTTAAATTTCATTCATCACGTGATTAACTTCAGAATGGTGTCCAGATGAAGCCGGAATTATTAAATTTGATCACGGCTGGTCGAAAAATACTTGACTGAAAAAAAAATTTTTCATGACCTCAAGACTTTCTGCCTGAACCCCGCGCTGCACTAGGTAGAGAGGGTGTGCACTAGGTAGAGAGGGTGTGCACTAGGTAGAGAGGGTGTGCACTAGGTAGAGAGGGTGCGCACTAGGCAGAGAGGGTGTGCACTAGGTAGAGAGGGTGTGCACTAGGTAGAGAGGATGTGCACTAGGTAGGGAGGTGTGCACTAGGTAGAGAGGGTGTGCACTAGGTAGAGAGGGTGTGCACTAGGTGGAGAGGATGTGCACTAGGCAGAGAGGGTGTGCACTAGGCAGAGAGGGTGTGCACTAGGTAGAGAAGGTGTGCACTAGGTAGGGAGGGTATGCACTAGGCAGAGAGGGTGTGCACTAGGTAGAGAGGGTGCGCACTAGGTAGGGAGGGTGTGCACTAGGTAGAAAGGGTGCGCACTAGGCAGAGAGGGTGTGCACTAGGTAGAGAGGGTGTGCACTAGGCAGAGAGGGTGTGCACTAGGTAGGGAGGGTGTGCACTAGGTATAGAGGGTGCGCACTAGGTAGAGAGGGTGTGCACTAGGTAGAGAGGATGTGCACTAGGCAGAGAGGGTGTGCACTAGGTAGAGAGGATGTGCACTAGGCAGAGAGGGTGTGCACTAGGTAGAGAGGGTGTGCACTAGGTAGGGAGGGTGTGCACTAGGCAGAGAGGGTGTGCACTAGGCAGAGAGGGTGTGCACTAGGTAGAGAGGGTGTGCACTAAGTAGAGAGGGTGTGCAATAGGTAGAGAGGGTGTGCACTAAGTAGAGAGGGTGTGCACTAGGTAGAGAGGATGCGCACTAGGTAGAGAAGGTGTGCACTAGGTAGAGAAGGTGTGCACTAGGCAGAGAGGGTGTGCACTAAGTAGAGAGGGTGTGCACTAGGTAGAGAGGGTGTGCACTAAATAGAGAGGGTGTGCACTAGGTAGAGAAGGTGTGCACTAGGCAGAGAGGGTGTGCACTAAGTAGAGAGGGTGTGCACTAGGTAGAGAGGGTGTGCACTAGGTAGAGAGGGTGTGCACTAAATAGAGAAGGTGTGCACTAGGTAGAGAAGGTGTACACTAGGTAGGGAGGGTGTGCACTGTAATTCAAATTGCTACATAACCCAGAGCAAATATTATGAAGTTCAAACCAGTGAGCGATCTTTTTAAACCTATTGAGATCTATTTTTAATTATGCAAGCATTTTGCTGGACAGATGGCGCGCGATATCGAATGAGATTACACAGGCGCTAAAATACAATTCAATCTTATTGCTTAATTTCATGCGAATCGTGGTTTGACGACCGAGAAATGGGTAGGAGATTACCTTAAATTTAAATTTAGTTGCAGAAACCCATAAATTCTAAACGTTTTGGTAAAAATATACCGATCTTAATTTATTGGCAGTCTGCCACACGTGGAAAAGATACTACAATATTTAATTTCAAATCCGCTTCAGCTCGCAATGTCCATGCCATTTTAAATCAGCCTATAATCTTTCTAATTTATCAAAGTAATTAAAATTAAAGAAAAATTAGCCGCGTCGGCACTTGTCCGTATTGATTGCAGTCGTCCACATTCTCGATGGAAGGATCACGCAAAGAAGCAGTTATGGCACCGCAGAAGTTCAAGTCAAAAGATGTGTTTGTCTCGTTGTTGTGTCTTCCTTATGATTCACTTTTCGTTGCGGGAAAACTGCACGCGGATAAGAATCTTGACCAGGGTATAGGCGATAAGGGTAGAGGCGTGACAAATTTTGATGAGATTTAGAAAGGAATGTTTTGCCGATAAGTTGCCAGCTCATGTATTTATATGACTCGCTATGTAAGGAAGGACCATCAGAAGTTGAAGAGAAGCAAGATGGAGTGGAGTGATCCGTCAGTGGCTGAGGTTTATGAAAATTTGCGGAGAATTGCTAATCTGAATAACGTGAGTATTATATGTAACATACTATTTACGTGGAATAGTCCAACGTTTTCAATGGTTTGTTCGATAAATAATGGCACCAATTATTGTCTGGGTAGCGGAGACGGCATTAAGAAATTGCCCTATAGTAATGTAAAGCCATAAAGTAATAGTGTAGCTCACGTAATGGTCTCTAGGATAGGATTGTCTAGTTTTACATTAAAATTATGCCTTGTCCATTATTCCTAAATTACCTGGCAATATAATTTATGCCTATTGTCATCTAACAATATAATTTATATTGCCATGTAGCTAACGAAATGCGGCCACTTAAATTAATTTGTACAGTCTCCTTTGAAATCATCGTTTTAACTTGTTGTTTTCATAAGGCTTATTGTAAATCGTTTACTTTTATGCTAATGCTTATTTATGCTAATGCTTATTGATCGTTTACTTTTATTCATAGGCTATATCCTTTCTTTTTGAGGTTGAGGTGCATGGTGTATTATCATGTGCTAAACTTTCAGTCCAGATTACAACAAAAAATTAATATATGGTGTATTAGAGAAAAACGTGCGTTATACATGCCATTGAATAGCACAATTTTCCACTTCCATGCGTGCACTCTCTTACTAACGACGTGCTCGTAATTGCATATACGAAAAACGATAACGAACATCGTTTTTATGTAATAAAAACTAACATCAATAACGTTTTATCTAATGCAATAACTCATAGTTCTCGAACTGATTTCGTCGTAGCTTTGTTGGTACAACTAGAAAAATTGAGAAATTACTTTAATTTGTATGACAAACGGACGCTACATTACAAGCAATATGACCTTCGATGAATTTGTTTCGTCGGGTGCGTAACATTTGGGTCGTGGTTCTAACTGTTTACGTCACTTGAAATTTAGTTGCATCGCCACATAAAAGTTTGCTGTATGGTATGCGTCGCGTCTCAGGAGTATGCTTTACGCGCACCAACTACAAGTATGCTATACGGCGGCGGTCTACGTGCACCATGTAGCAGTATATGCATGGCGTACAAATAAATTAATTAAGTGGAATTAAGTCTTCCAGGTTTTAACAACAGGTTGGTTGCTCATTTCATTGATGTCGGCGGTAAAACGTCGCATCCTCCTTTTCAAATTCACCAGATTAGTTGAAAAAAGTTAGGATAAATATTATATCGAGACTTCGATTTGTCCTCGTCTTGATCGACCTTAACAATTTTTAGTCCCTATAGATACCAACGCGAAAGGCAGTAACTTATAAAAAATTTCGCGATAGAATAATAATTGAATACGTGGACATTAGAATTAATAACGAGAAATCGCATGCATTTAGATGAAATTTATTTCCATGTGTACTTTTATTCACACTAAAGTTGAAATAAGATATTCCGTTTTTTAATGGTCGCAATCGTGCTGGCGGCAATTATAAGGGCAACACAAATGTCCTGTAATGGACGAGCCAAAAAAAGCGATCTAATCTTTCCAAAGCAAAGTTTTTTTTCTAGCGCGTGAAGCCGTGTAAAGACGCGTTCTGAAAAGTTCGGGACCTACGAGATTCGTGGTCACTTTGGCATACGTACATTCTGACACGCAAGCGTAGATTGCGATTTAGTTACGCGTGTACCACGTGGCCATGGTGTGCGTGGAACAAACACAGGCTTCGTGTACAGTATGGTGCATTATTAGCTGGAATATGATGCTCACAATTGCTCTGAATATGAATCGGGACGGAATTTCAATTCACTAAATTTCGAATTTAAACTTCTAACTTATGCATAATTCCAACCATCGTCTTTAATTTCAAGTTGTTTAATGCTTATATATAATGAAGCATTTCATTAGTGAAGCGCAATAATCATTTGTAATTTTCAGGTTGGAATTAACTACAGTTCTTAAATCAATACATCGATTTAGGAAAACTTCCAATTCGATTAAAAATAAAATGTGTACCTTATCATGTTTAATGCAGGTTTCATTGAAGACCAGAGAGTATTTCTTATTGACAATTTTCTTATTATTTTTCTCGATTCGGCGAATTAGGCTCTTGATATGAAGTGAAAATCCAAATATCAGGTTTCCAAGGGACATTTTATTATAATTTTACATCGTTTCGAATGCAACTTCATTCATTATCAAGTATAGGAAGAGTTTCGCAACAACTGAATTTGAAATTTTGAAATGACATTAGTACAATTATCATGTTTACATACTTAATTTGTAGCGCAGCCTCAGCATTTGCTACAACGAAAACATAAGAACTTTGTTGACTAAAAACTGAAATTTGGCCAGCTGATAAAGACGTGTTTGTCCAGGCATGCGTTATGCGATCTTCTGCGTCTTCACAAAGTGAACGAATGATGACGGACTCAAACTCTGTTATCGTCATGCCAATCAGTTTCATTATATCCTTACAAGCGAATTTGTTTGCCGAGTTGAATATTCTTTCTTGTATTAAGTGTCCAAATAATTATTTCTTGATAGCGTCAGTCTTGAACAGATCCGGTCAAAGGACACGATTTTAGATCTTCTGTGAACAAGTCACGAAAATTACAAAAATCGGCGACAGGCCACATCAGGCCTATACTCTTCATGCACCGACATCGCTATGTTATGTTATGTTATATGTAGATAGATAGCGTAGGTAATTAGGTTAGGATGTGTATCAACGATTACATGGAAATTAAATGGAATTTTTTATGGTGGAAGCTTAAAACATTGCAAATAGTTGGAACAGGAGTTTGATGTGAAAATTGAGATATGATTTTACTTTTTAAATCTGTAGTCTAGTCAAAACTAATGAATTCAAATATGATTTTGAATACAGGAAGCGAGTGGATCTTCCTTGCTACATGTGGGTTTACTGTAAACGGGTCATTGTTTAATTAACTTGCTTGAGTTCAAAATTTATTCGTACTCACAGCCCTCGGATCTATACAGCCCTCATAATACACAACTTGTGAAACGACAAGCATGAATTTAGAATGTAAATTTGTAAATCATGACGCATCATTGCATGTTGAAGACATCATCGCAGTCACTCTTACTCGCAATGCGATGTTGAACTTCATGAATTCACTCTATATCTGCAACTATTATGAGGATAGTACAACTTTGAGCAAGCATACCGCCGCTGTAGTGAGTAGCCGCCGCTGTAGTGAGGATATAGTACAACGTGGAGCAAGCATACCGCCGCTGTAGTGAGTAGCCGCCGCTGTAGTGAGGATAGTACAACGTGGAGCAAGCATGCCGCCGCTGTAGTGAGGATAGTACAACTTGGAGCAAGCATGCCGCCGCTGTAGTGAGGATAGTACAACTTGGAGCAAGCATGCCGCCGCTGTAGTGAGGATAGTACAACTTGGAGCAAGCATGCCGCCGCTGTAGTGAGGATAGTACAACTTGGAGCAAGCATGCCGCCGCTGTAGCGAGGTTAGTACAACATGGAGCAAGAATGCCGCCGCTGTAGTGATGATAGCACAACTTGGAGCAAGCATGCCGCCGCTGTAGTGAGGATAGTACGGCATGGAGCAAGCATGCCGCTGCTGTAGTGAGGATAGTACAACATGGAGCGTGTATTAGTGCAATGATAAGAAAGATTTAGCGGGGCACAAATGTCACAGGTGGGCATGGGAAGGCATGATGCATGCAGGCTGGCAAGCATACCACGGCTGGGCAGGGCTGGGGCGACCAGCTGCTGGGTGCGCAAGTGTCATGCAGACCGCCACTCTCCACCGCCCGCCCCCTCCACCCTCCACCACGAGCCACCACCCGCCAGTGGGCGGAGCTACGGTGTGTGGGGATGCAGGGGTGATAGGCCGTGCGCTTGACGCCCGGGAACAAGTAGGGTGTGGACGTAGGGGTAGGGGGAGATGGAGGAGGTGGAGGTGGAGGCTACTGCAGGAGAAGTCATGAGGGCACCACGCCTTCATTCTCCATGCATCTCGCATCGGAAGCGGTTGCTAGGATCTTTAGGCAGCGATCAGTCTTGACTTGTGTAACGTAGTGTGCAGTGTGTGACTTGCTTGTAGTGGTGTACTACCTCAGCACTTGTGCAGTGTAAACAACAGTCAAGTGATTCAGTTGACGCTCAGTGGATGTGTTATTACAACAAAGTATGTAGTTGAAACTGGAAAATCTATAATTAGATACCTGATATTTCGGAAACTCTCAAGTGATATTGCCCGCAGTTTATATCGAATTATGTGTGAACATTTTTCAGTTTGAGTTTAGACTTCCATGAAGTGGAGTTGGTTTTGTTCAAATGATATTGGAATCTAACTTTTATCGTTCAAACTCCACTCCAGTCGAGGATAACACAATTACCGAGGATATTAATATTGGCTACTGAACTGGTGAGTGGTGAAGTGGCACCGGACACTCCTTGTAAATTATATAACCTTGAACTGATTAAAATGTACAAGAAGGGCTCAATATTTTCTGAATACGAATTGCAGATTTTAAATTAGCCTAATGACTGTGATTACGTTTCAGAGAACTAGTTGAATTTTACTCAACTTATGCGACTGTGTATTATTTCATGGGAAATTCCAATGTATTAATTTTTTAACTTTATTATCATATTTTATAGCTCATGTGATTCATTCACATTCTACTTATGCTTGAAAAATATTGATTATTTAGAAGGCCATCATTCATTGTAGCTCGTGTACGAGTTTATATGTCTGCACCACAATTAATCGATACCTAGTTTTGTTTGAACTTTGTCGGAAAGGTTGTACTTGAACTTGGGCCCCAGGAAAGTTGTTATAGAAAAAACATATCATTTTTAAAGATATATTGTACTTTTCTAACAATTATCTTGGATTTTCGGATCAATACTTTTTCTTAAAGTTAAAATTGGTTGTGATTTGAAGTCTCCGGACTTGGAGCGCCTAGTTCTACCAGGAAAGTTAAAGTTTTGGGTTTGTACAAGAAAAAAAATTCTCACATTATAAGCACTGTTGTCTCTGTCGTGAGATAATTAATACGTTTATGGATGAATTTTAAGCAATCTCAGTTAACGAGAGTTCAATTGTACTGCTAATTAATCGAACTGTGATAGTAAATTGTTTACTCCGCAATCTTCTGTTTAGTTTCAAAGTTCTCTGGTTTCCTAACTCATGAAAAAATTTTAAGTAAGCTATTTAAAAAGTTCATTTATCAACGCTGACGAGACTGAAAACAATTATTTTCGCTTCAGCTTGAAGTTGCTTATAGCAGGAACCTGTGGAAACACTTATTTAGCACTAATCATGGAACTCTATTTCTGAACATAATTCTCTGAACCATTGAAACCAGAAATTGTCTTGCTGGAAGGAAAGAAACCATTGAATGTTCGAAATTGCGAAGGAAGTTAAAACAGGCGATGCAAACCTACCCTAATTTTTCTGAACTCGCATGAACTATTCCTTCTAACTCGGGGATATATGAAGTTACTTCTAACTACTTTAGTTTGGTTTGGTTGGGTTGGGTTAGGTTAGGTTGATTTGGTTGAGTAGTTAATTCTAATTTCTCTTCGTTCATGTTGTACTCGAGATACTGGATAAGTTCTGTATAGCCATTTTTTGGCTTGATGTAAATTTCGAGCGTGGATAAACCGCTCGCATTTAGGCTGTTTTTTCAGCATCGCTTATGTGCCCAATTCGTACGTGTATCACTTCTCACTCACATTCACATTTCTTAATCGCGAGTCATATATGCATTCCTAAGAGTGATTTCAAAAAGCTTTTACGTCACAAAAATATTATATATTATTTTTTAATGTACTCAACAGAGTAATAACAAACCTTCACGTTCACCAGTAATCTTCCTCATTTTAGTTCGGAGTCTCTCTTCACAACCGCCCGCTTCATGCTCATAACGCGTTTTTTCGTCCAACGTGAACCGAATGAATAGCAACAAGGACGAATGTTCCAATTTTTTTGCTGTACGCAGACGCTGAAGTTTTGCCCCGCCCTTGTTTGAATCGTCACGTTGTGCCATGCAATCCATTGATGCTGCCGCATGCCACACAAGGTCGTGCAAGGCTGCAAGCAATCGCAAAAAAATCTACGGATTTCACAAGCACGTTTTCGCACGAAGGCCAAAATTTTTTGATACTTTCCACCAATTTTCAAACTCAAATGACTCATTTTTATGGTCTCAAATTTAACTATAATTTTATTGTTCAATTAAAAGTATTTTTCAATTATTGTGCATGCAAACTATGATATAATTATCCTTGCAAACTGTAAAAGTACCATTTTAATCTTTTCTGCATTTGTTGTAGATGTTGTAGTTGTTCTTGAAGTATGACAGTGTTTTACGAAAGGCGAAACATTTTGACCAAAACTGAGATTGCCGGTGGATTTCGTCTTAGGCTTGTGTTGCTTCGTTATAATGACTTGACAATACAATTCGAGACGTCAGACTCCTCATAAAACTCTAATTACTCCATATGCATATGCATATATAGCGCTGCACAGTCCGTCAACACAGTGGTCACGTTCAAATCATTATAATTATTCAAAAGAATCTTACACAAGATCTGATTACGAATCCCTTTTAGATCTCAAATGCAACGTTGTCGAAATTCAACATGCATACTAATTAGCATGGGAAATTGTCTTCTACTAATATACGATTCGTCAGAGTTTAATTTTTGTCTCCACTGATACTTCCTTGAGAAGTTGCGTGCTTCGAATTTCCGAGACTATTTCAAGTTTGACGAAACAGCCGTCGAAAATTACGACGATACAGGTCATGGGCTGCATGTATCCAAAATATCGGAGTTTCATCGAAATAAATTTTTACGAGTATCGTCCGTCGTGCAAGATCACAACTTGAACGTTGTAAGAGTTTCTACACGATGTTCGCGCATTCTATTATATCACTTTGTTTTAATCAGAATTATTTAAGTATTTCTCCCACTAGTTTTAACATTCGGTTAAGCAATGTAGATTTCATTATCACGTTAAATTTTCGTACGCGATGAACAATTCTTTCTGACGCACGATCATTCTGCTCTATGTATATACCTCCTTACTGCACACAATAAAATCAATACTAAAAATTCAGTTTCTTGTGTTCCAGACAATGGCGGAGAAGGATGAAGAGCTGTGCGTCAACTGGAGTATGCACCAGGATGTCTTAGCTTCAAAAGTTGGCGAGTTCCTGGAATGCAAGCAGTTCCACGACGTGTCGCTCTACTGCACTGAAGACAACGAAATGATCCCTGCTCATAAGCTGGTGCTCTCAAGCTGCAGCGACTTCTTCAAGGTAAGAACTCATTTCTTCATTTATTTTTTAGATAGGAGAACTCGGGCGTATGATTCAGTTAAATCACTATTTGTTGTGTTAATTATACCTTATTGCCTTGTTCTATGTTTAATTATGTCGTGCGTTCCGGTATAGACTTTTCTTTGATAGGAAAAAAATCATTCAATTTAGCCTTATAATTTATTCAATCCTCAATAATTGTGTTGTAATAAAAATAATTTAATTAAATCGTGTATCGTAAAATTACAAGCCGCTTAAAATTCTCCATTACCTTTGCAGAATTTGTTCGATAGAGTCCAGGAGACGAACGCGGTAGTCGTAGTCAAAGACGTGCGGCATAAGACGCTGCAGCAGATCTTAAGATTCATGTATGTAGGCACGGTTGTTGTAACCGCAACTGATGTGCCAGAGTTCATGAAAGCAGCTAAACAATTCAAAGTTACTGGACTGGACGTGGATAAAAACGGCGTGGCAGCATTGACATCCAAGATCGAAGACGTTCAGGGGAAAGAACTAGATTTGTCAAGGAATCGAACCACCGGTGCATTTCCTAGTACGACTTCGTCCGATTCCATCATTACTGAAGATACCAACACCATCACGCCAAACTTTATGGTACCTGGACAACCGGCTCTGAACCCTTCCATGATCAACCATGCACACTTGTCACCTTTCGACAGCCATATTCTGAACACTGCCTTGGCGTTCCGTACAGGCTCGCAATTCTTGTCGAATCGCCTTGCCACTCCCTCACATCTCGCCCACAATGCAAACCTCTCTCGCCAATCTCACCTAAAGTCCATACCCGTAGACGCGTCAAAGCAGCTGCAGTCAGAGAAGGTTTTAAGAGATCCTGCCGTTATCAATCGGCGATATTCGAATTCTCCTGAAGACTCTCTCCACAGTAACGCTAGTCTCGATCTGACGAAAGCAACTTCTTCGATCAGTCCTTTGAACCGCATCGGTGCGGTGACCAACCCTCTAAACTCTTTAGCCTCAGTTGGACAAGCTACTGGCAGCCCAAATATCAACCCGGTATCAGCCGCCGTTTTAGCATCTCAAATTCAACATTACTCGCAATTTTCGCCTCAAATTAGAGTATCTCAGTCTCTACTGAACAAACGGTCGCGAAGTAAGTCACCCGAAACAAATGATTCAAAGTTACTTCACAACGACGGCACAGACGACGATCGTTCGCCGCACCGATTCAACGATCACCAAGAGAACAGCAGCCCTCGCAACTCTGAACAGTCGGGAAAGCAGAACAGCAGTGCGGGTGCCAGCGAACACTACAGCGACGATGAGAGTGGAACAGAAACAAAGTACAACGAGAATTTGGGATACCGAGCACCCGGCAACGGCAGGGCGAGATCGGTGTCGCCTGGGCCTTCTACTTCGACACCCAAAGTCACCGAGTCATTTATGCAGAGTGAGTTCTTTCGATTCTAAACTTTTTCGCTGTGAACGCTTTGGCTTTTTAATTAAATCTCGCATGATATATTAGTGTTATAGTTCTTGGTTTCGGCCATTTCACTGCTAAGCGGATTTTTTTGAATTCCCATTTCAACGCTCTAATCGAATAGTCTTGCCTTAAGAAGTTAATATTCGTTGAATATTTTGTTCCTTGCTTGCTTCATAAAATTTATGGCATCAGCATGAACTCTTTGCTGAAATTACAAATTTTTCCCCTGTCTTATTTCTTCGAAGGAGTTCTGTCGAATATTTTTCATTTACTGACACCTGCTTGCATGCTCATCAGCTTGCTTGCTTGTCTGCTTCCTTATTTATAATGTTTGCTACAACTGCGATCGACTACTACCTTATGTTATGAATTTACTAAGTTTTACTGATCTGATATTCGTCGCTGACACAGGCTTCATTGCAGGCTACCCGCGAATGCCCTGGAACTACAGCACCGCAGGCGACGACATCAAGACCGCGTCTGACAACACCGGCACCTCAGGTAAGACTTTAACAATTGCAATGGTTCAGTTGATACCGCCACTGCTTCGGAAACACAAAACTCAAGGTTTGGGCAATAACATAGTCAATTGCTAGTTTAAGCACTACCACTATTTACACTAAAACGGCGTAAGACTGGCGTTGGTTTCGCTTAACAGAAGGTTTGGGCATTTATACATCAACCCTGTGAGTGGTCTAGAAATACAAACACATGGTTTTGATATTCACACTTGGTTTGTGGCGGCACAATTTTCAAGGCTTGCGATGTTACGAGAACAATTCCATTCTGTACTACATTGTGCATTAGTTTAAAAATTTTGTTTGCAGAATTGTTTTTTGGAGTCTTGCATGGATTCTTTAGTATTGCAGAAACACTACTTTGCTCTCAATGAGACATATTACAGTAAAATTACGTTTGATGTAATCATCTTCAAAAGTAATGAGGTTCCGAAGTTTTTCTGATTAGCTTATAGATTTTTTTCACGATTCACCTGAAATTTCACTTTCACTCGGAAACTTCGGATGTCGAATAAATAGGAATTGCTCGTGGAATTTCAATCCAAGCTAGAATAATTGACATCGAATGAAACCGATGCTTTTGGCTATCTTGTAATAATTTTATTTACGAATCTCTATTTTCTGAAAAGATCGTAAATGATTTCGTATCTTGCTGTGATAAACTATTTCATTCACAGTCGTCGGGGTCGGAACAGCAGTTGTACTAATTAAAAGCTTAGTTTTTCGGGGCTACATGGTATTTTCTAAGAATTTCCCCTAATTTTTACACTTCTAGTGGAATTAGAATCGCCACGTATGTGCTACATTTCTTTGAAGTCAATTTAAAAAGAGTTTGAATAGTTTTGCTTTCTTGAATGACGGTTATTTGTTTGTTATTAAATTAACATTTGTACGGAATACTTGAACTGATTTTCCCTCAGTTTGGGTGGTGGCGAAGAGGTGGTTGGAAGTTGGTAATTAATTTATGGATCTTGAGCATGCTTTGCAAACTTCGTACTAACTGTTGCTGATCTAATGTAACTCAATGAGAAAGTATAAATAATCTGGATGTGAGGCATGTTATGACATTATTTCTTGTTTCTGCTTTACTGGTTCTGCTGGTTTTCGTCGGAGTTTCCGCATGCTTAGTTGATTCCACTATAATTTAATTAGATGGTATATTTTTTAATCAGCATGTTGAGCTCTTTCACAGGTAGAGGCTAGTGTAGGTGGGTTCTATTCCTAAATATTTTTATCTCTGGACTTTGTGTAAATTTTCTTCTTTTCGGACTTGGTGCACGTTCTATAGATGCGTTGTGCCGGCATGAGGTCTATTAAATCGGTTGGCTTGATGTTTCCAAAATTTCCTCTTGATTGCAAATCCTACTAACTTGAACGAAAAAGGAACGTATATATAATATTAGACAAGTAAAATTAACCAGTTATTTTAACAGTGCATACTAACTAACCTCGTATACGCGATGTAGTATGCTTTCAAAACTACCGAATTTTGTAGAAGTAGTAATTGTGCAATACTGTAATATTTAATTGAGTAATTTAACATTGATTCCAGTACGCAGTATTGAATGCTTTGCATTAGTTTGAGTACTTGTTCACTGTACCAAAAGTAGCAGTACAAATGCTTATTTCGTTATCGCTTGTTCTCATTCCAGGATTTTGGAAAAGTAGCTTCAAAAACAGCTTTCTTGCACCGTATCTTAGTCCTTCACTTCCTCCTCTCTCCCCCGGCTCTCACTCCTCCACTCTTTCCCCCACTTTTCCTGGACTATATCCCCCAAGTTCTCTGTCCTCCTCGTGGGCGTGCAATTCTGGTTCGCCTCCACCCATGCACTCGATGCCCTTCCTCCGCTCCAACGAGTGCGCCCGATGCGGCCGATTGTACAAAACTCGCAAAGGACTCAAGCATCACATTAAGAACGAGTGTGGAGTTGAGCCCAGGTTTCAGTGCACTCGATGTGACTGGAAGTTCAAACAAAAGGCTCACTTGCTCCGTCACATGGCAAGGAAGCACACGCCTCCTACTTGACCAAAGATGCTTCGCCTTTGACAAGTCAACAGCCTACGCAGGAGGGCATTGATATAGCGCTCGTTGAACTGATCAGTCGGGGACCTCGTAGGCCAATTGGGTCGAATAATTAGCTAGGACTCTGCATGTTAAAGCACTTGAGTTGATTACGTCATAGCTTGATTGTTCGGCACGGAAGCAAATGTCATTTAAGCGATTACCTAACTATCATTTGCTACAAAAATTAAGACCCTTACGCAATATTATTGCTAGTGACAAGAGAATAAGTTTAATGGAAGATTGATCGTCTAAGTGGATTATTTACATGAGCCCCCGACTCTTCCCTCTTTCATTCTGCTCAATTGTAGTTTAGTTTTATGTTGTTGAGATTATATTAGCATTTAAAATGTCCTATGTCAACTTGTAGTTTGTGAGTTTATTTGGGTTTATGCATGTCTGTGTAGCCATGTCTCCGAAATACTTTTTTTTCAACTTTTAGAAGCTTTCCTTTTCAGTAGGGTTGTGATGATGCACAATTTTCTAGTAGCTTCAACTGCCAATGCCCTTGTTCATTTAAGTCAAGTTCATATATAGCATGATTTTATTCTTATCTGTTACTAAATATGGAATCAATCAATCATTTATACTTTTGAAAATTTTACTAAATTGTTTCAACAATGACTTGAAAACAAATTATTTTCTATCTAAAACTGAAATCTGAAAGTTGTGTCTAAGTTAATCAGCCAAAAATGATATTGGATTTTGATGGTTTGAGTCTTGATATAATTAATGATACGTATATTATTTGCGTTAGGCTAATATATATATAAGCCTTTCGTTCAACAAAAGACAAGGTATATCACAGATCTCTGGCTTTCAACGAAGGCTAAAGTAGCATCAAGTAGTCATTATAATCATGATTTTTATAACATTTAGTTAGTTAGAGTTTCTGATATTAAAATCATCTATTAAAAAGACAATTGAAGGCATTCATTTTTTTCAGAGTGGAGCCTGAATGAAGTAATAACAGAACTTAGTTCTCACTTATTAGTTCATGCTTTAATATATTGTTTTATCTGCTCATAGGAAATCCATTGCCATATTAAAGTCATTAACTATTTTATAGAGATTTCCAGTTTTTCTTATTTAAAAAAAATTCCAGATAAAAACTGTTATTGTTGAATCTATTGATTTTTTATGGGAATAATTTTTTATTAAAAATGCCTGCATGGTAGAAAAGTGCGAGTAACACGCGCCATTGCCGAGCTTCATAACAATTTCTAGTCACTCTCTATTAGATTTGCTTTTATTCTAATTTTCGTTTCACTTGGATATTTAAAGTACTACATAAAATGACAAATGTAGAATTTACGTACAAATGATTATTTAATCGTAACAAATACCGAAAGATTATAGTTGTTAACACTATCTTCCTGCAGTACATAGGCATATCTCACGTAAAATGCAGTGATGCGAGGAATGTTGGTTTGCTTTTTAAATTCTTAAGATGAAAAGACGAATCTGTTGATTGGATGAGTCCTCGTAATTACAACGGTCACAATATACGCTCCGAGCTTCCACATTTACACGTCATCAATCTAGTTTTAAATGGCACTTTGTAAAAGTATTTTAAATAACTTCTCCTGTAGCTCTTACCAGTTCTTCGTGGCTGGAATAATCTCGATAATTTTGCTCAAGCTATTTCATTTGCTTATTTATTTCGTTAACTACCCAGTAATTACCTAGACTTAAACTTGAGTTTTTTCTAATTTTTGGAAGAAAAGTTGGCCTGTAAATTAAGTATTCAATATCATACCTCAATGAAAATTTCAATGATAACAGAGATACTGGAATTTGAAACGGTTCATAAACTCGACTAAGTTTGATAAGCGACCGTGCACGCGATTATTTCGCTGCCAATCAAATTGCAATTTTGCTGCTAAAGAGTTTACAGATTGGGTTAGATTTTCTGTACATTTTATATCATTGCCGTGGGTGTATCTCAGTCTCGCTGGTTGCCGCGTTGTCTTGTTTCAGTTCGGTGGCTGTAGTGTTGTTTGTCGATGCTGTTTTTATTTGTGCGAGTTGGTGCTACAGCGCGTAAGTCAGGCCAAATCGAAAAGTTGTTTTGTAAATAAAGTCTTGCCCCATGAAAAATGGTTTACTTTAACTATAAGCTTGGGCTCCTATCATCATAGAAAATCTCTGATCACACAACAAAACCAGGTAATTTTTTGTATCCTACTTACTTATGTTGTTCACAAGGAAATTTTATTTGGATAATGAAAAATTCGTTTTGTTCATTTATTTTAGAAGCTAGGCCGCTCTTTGTTCATGACTTTCTCGGGAAAGTAATGATTATTCAACGAATTTCCTGAGCATTCTCTTGATTATTTTAAGCGCATACCCCTGCAATGAGTACATTTGATTTATATTTTTCTGTCAACAATATATTTTACATAGTGCTCTTATGAGTACTTTCTGCGAATTAGCCTTTCCTGAGAAAGGGTTTCCCTTCTTGCATATCGCGGAATGATGACGCTAATACATTTTTCTCTTGCAGAAATCCTGGCCGCTCTCATCAATGCCAAAAATGTGGCTGAATTCAACCCTGCCCTCTTAGTGCGACAGGCTAACGCATTCCCCAATATTGCCACGACATTCCCCCAGTTGGTCAATCTTCCGCAGACGTTGGCCAGCTTCCAGTCGTCGTTGACTAACAGTGTCCTGACGAGCCACCCTAAGTCAGGCATTGCTCTCAATAGCCAGATCCCTACTCAGATGATGGCGTTGATGGCTGAACAGGAACGCTTGCGCCTAGAGGAAAAGCGAATGACCGAAGAAAGGATCGGAAACAAGAAGCGGAGGCTCCAATCTTCCACAAGTGCCAGGTTTGAGTGTGACGTGTGTCAACGATCTTACGCTTCTCATGGAAACTTGAAGCGACACAAGAAGTACGAGTGTGGACAGCCCCCAACTTTTGCCTGTCCAGTTTGCGATTGCATGTTCCAGCACCGACACAGTATGAAAATTCACTACAAGGGTTCTCACAAAGAAGAGTACGCCAAATATGGATTTTCAATGGTGGACAATGTCAGCGCAAACAACACCAACATACAGCTAACAAAACTGCAATGCCATTCTCCTAGCTCAAGCCCTCCACTGCGAATAGTTGATGATGTGCCACCGTATCAGCCCAATCCCAATGTGCCACCGTATCAGGAGCCTTCGAGTCTTCTTGACATCAAACGAGAGAGCTTGAGGACCATCGCTGATGATGTGCCACCTTATCAGCCCATGCCGCCTCAGGAGCCTTCGAGTCTTCTTGACATCAAACGAGAGAGCTTGAGGACCATCGCAACTGCTGAAGTCTCAGTGTCATCTTTGCCGCAAAAAGATTTGGACAATCAGTTTTTGGCGGTCCAGCGTGCTCCGCCATCACAGAGTAGCAATACCGATAATGTTTAGATTAGATCAGTATACCGAAAGTGAATGATTCATTTTTTTCACATTCACAGTTGATGATATGTGGGAACGCGTTTTCTTGCTTTCATATTAGGAGTGAATCTTCTTGTAATTAATGTATTTAATTCTTATCCAATGCATACACGCTAAACGTTACAACAAGGAATTTGTAGCGAGGGCAAGTGATTGTTGTTAATGGTCTCAGTTGCTGACAACTGCCCTCAATTACGGAAAATTTTAAGTTAGATACATTTTTTACAGCTTCAGTTTTAGAGCTCTGTTGATCCAAATGAAGCAAACTTGAGCAATGTCCAGGACCTCATCCTAACGTGTGAAAGTTGCATTCTTTTAAGTTATTTACCAGGCTGTGTGATAAGCTAAGGTGCTCACGTACATAGTCATTGACGGTTCCTTTATCCTTCGTTGCCTCACTAACGCTTAATTTTCAACAGTCGTCTCTACATTGTAAGGTTTATACTATTAAGTTATGTATCTTGGATGATCTCGTGGAATGTTGAATCAATGAACATATATTTAGATCCTATCACGACAAATAACAAAGGTTGAGCACCAGCTTGAAGTGGTGAATTCACTGCAACGTTTTTTCGTCCCAATGGTAGTTAGGTCGCGCGTCTAACTACCATCAATTCAGTTCATCGCGCCATTTGATGTGTAGGTCGCTCATTTTGGTATCGCTCCTTATCTTCACAAATTCACTTGTTCTTTAAATTTTGAAGAAGCATTTTAGAATTAGGAATAAGTTTCTTCTTTCTTTCTTGTTCAAGTTTTTCCGTTGGTCGTTGAAAGCCAATTGTTATCTTACCTCCACCCTCGCCTGCCATTTCTATCTCCGAGTATTTACGTTCTTGTCTACTAAAAACCTTAAATTAACTTGAGACAAATATATTTAAAGGACCAAAATGAGTAAAGTATAAGGGCCAAAATTATTTGGTCTGCCCAATACCAGATGCCTGTACTTGTGTACAAATCTCTAAGACATTGTATCATTTGTTTGAGGAATGCTTCGAGTGGGAGCGTTTCATTTACTCATTGGGCATAACCGTGTGCAAACCAACTAGCCTCGAGTTCTTGATTTGAGGTGTAAAATAGGAATTAGTCATGCGGCTGCTTAATTAACAAACGATGAGCATTATGCTAAGTCTAACTTGATTCTCGAGCAACTGTCTCAGGGAGTGATGTACTTTCTTCAAGTAGTGCGCGACGAAGGGTGTTTGGTGAATTATTATTAACCTCTTTACCTACGTGTAAAAATTGTATGAACGTGTAACTAACGTGTACCTTTCTATAAGTACAATGACATGCTCATATTCAGAGTTCCTATAAATTAAAGTCTATATCGTGTTAAGGTTGTAGACTCGTGTGTAATGTTAGTGAATAAGGATTTACATTATTGACAAGGTGGTGTAAGTAACAAGTTAATCATTGCAGCCGTGACATCACTGAATTTATTCTGAAGTCTCTTGTTCGTCGATGGTTAATTAAAACCGTGCTTATCTGTTAATGCTGAGATTTTGGATGAGTAATTTGCTGGACTCGCTATTATCGTAGTCGAATCCGTTGCTCAATTTTTTAACGTAACTTTTTTGAAGAGTTTAAAATTTTATAATTTTATATACTCTGACAATTATTGAAATTGGGCGTCATGCTTCGTAATTTTTGCCACGAATCCGGCTTGATTTGAAGGATACCATCAAATATTGCGATACTGTACATGTTTTTAATCAAAATCATCTTGCGTTGTCCAGTGAAGAGATCTCAGTTCTGCACAGAGCGTCATGTTATTCTGTTGATACGTGTTCGTAGGTTGTGTTTTATGGTAATATATAAAGTTTTGTGCTCAGTCTTTGGTTGTACAATATTGAAGTTAATGCGATAATGAATACCGGTACAGAAACCCAGATGCATGTTGATATTTTGCGGGCATTCAAGGCATTATTAGCTCGTTGGTGTATGGTTTCTTTCTTATCAGATTTGTTCATTATGCTGTGTTTGATTGGTTCCCCTCAGGCTAAACTTAGCAAATCTTTAAATATTCCTCGAACAAGATTTTTCATAACTATCATTTTGAGAAGAACATTTATAACAATTTTGGTACTATATAAACGGGAGGATGTATAATTTTATCGACATTCAAATGATTGCATCATTCTTTAGTTGATCGACTTGTGGCAGTTTGCCTTTTAATGCATTAGACCTTCATGTGGCATGACTGAATTATCAATTCTAACAACTAATCATCACGTGAATATCATCATTGATATGCAAGCTGTTCCTCTTCTTTAATTTTTTACTAACGTTTCGGTAAACTTTTTTTTTTGAAATTTGAATAAATTGAGTCACATTGCTAGCGGCTGATGTATTTTTAAAATTAAATCAGTTACGTCGAGAAATTACGTTCAATAATGTGTGTTTTGTCATTGATTTCGTAACAGGGGGCCTAGCAGTCTATCATGACAATTTCTTTGTAGGAGCTTCTTGCGGTAGGACAGAACTTAAGTTTTTACGGAGTTGTTGTGATGATAAGAACAGATCTCGATTCTCATTAGCCTTTTAATGTTTAAAAACCCCTGCTTTGACCTTCAGTGATATGATGGATGTAAGAGTTAAAAATAAGGTTTCACGTATTTTCGGATATTTTTTCACTATAAAATTTCGCCTTCTTTTTTTTTGACGTAGAGATATTTTTCGCAAGCTCATACAGGGAACAATTCAGTACAAGTAACTTTGATCCTCGTCCGGATTTATGTGCCTAGCTTTACTGTAAAAATGAATATTTTTAGCGGCCAACGGTGCGGTGAAATCGAAATATTTTGCTGTCTGCACTGCTCGCCGCTCGTGTCTATTATTGTAACTTGTGTGAAGTGTATTGAAATATATTTGATTCTTAAATATTTCTACCTTAACTACCCGAACCTCTTTCCATTTCTCGTTTAAAGCTGTTTTACATGATTTTCTCATCTGGACCTGCTAACTGTGATTACGCAGAAGTGAATAATTGAAATTATGTAATTTGACTAATTTTATTTATTAAGTTAAGATTTCCAAAAATAATCTGCAGGAGCATTTACAATTCAATTCATTCTGTTAAGAGCGTCTCAATGGTGGAAAGCAGGTTTGAGCGTAACTCAAAGCGCGGGCCCTCGATGTGAACGCAACTACGCATGTGCTCAGATGTGAGCGCAACTACGCATGTGCTCAGATGTGAGCGCAACTGCGCATGTGCTCAGATGTGAACGCAACTACGCATGTGCTCAGATGTGAGCGCAACTACGCATGTGCTCAGATGTGAGCGCAACTGCGCTTGTGCTCAGATGTGAGCGCAACTACGCATGTGTTCAAATGTGAGCGCAACTACGCGGAGGCTCGGATGTGAGCGCAACTACGCATGTGCTCAGAAGAGAGCGCAACTACGCGGAGGATCAGATGTGAGCGCTACTGTAATCGATGATGCTCATCTATAATCTATATATGAAGATTCGTATATCTGGAATGAGTTAGTGTTAGTGAAATATCTGCTGGATTAATGCACATGGCAATTGATCTTCCATTTCAAGGCTTCCTCAGTTCCATAACGTCATAATAATAATATAATATAATAGCGGTTTCAGCGTTTATTAGGCCGTAGGCCTGTCGCCGATTCTTTAACATCGCAGAACATTCACAGCACTTTGCGGTCTCGAACTCGCATCTCACTGCTACAATTCTGCTGTGCTTAACCGCCCGGCCTCCTCGCCGATTCTGACCAGAAACTGGCGCACAGAGCTGGGATCAAACCCGCGCCTCTCTGCGCCAATGTTGGTACTCTGAACTTAAACCAATGGGCCACCCTGCCCTACCAATGGATGTAATGAAACAATCATGAAACAATCAACACTTCCGGTTTAAAGAATGTAACCGTACATGAAAATAAAGTGATTTCGCGCAAGTTAAACAAAAAATTCCGTGCCCATTCATAAATTGTTTTCAATTTAAAGCCGATTCAATTATTGTCCGATCTGCCACAGGGCACAGGCGCACAGAGTGCACGCACATGCGTTATTTCAGAGGGAACTTGACACGAATAAAACATGTTACAGACAGTCTGAGGAAGGACTGGTGCAATATGTGCGAATAATATATTTTATGGCTAAAAATGAAGGATAGATAACAGGAATCTTTTAAAAACAATAATTGCATATGCGAATAGACAGTAATTTTTTTATAGCACAGTTTACCAGAGAATAAATTCGTTTTCTAACATACCTGAAATAAAAAATTGCACTCTTCATGGATAACAATGGCATTTTCATGAATTTTGATAACCAGATCAATCGTCAGGAAAACCACCTGTATATAGATAGATATATAACAAGATAGATATATAAAAAGACGTAAAAATAACAAAATAGATATATGACAAGATTGATATATCAGAAATAAATTAATAACATGATAGATATATAACACGAACATAAAATAGACGTAGGGGTAAACCAGGGATTAATTTCGCAAAAAATTTGCTCAAGATATATTTACGACTTGACAGTTTTTAAATGTCATTGAAATGATTTGGATGCAATAGTTTACCAATAATTTCAAAAAAGACGTAGCAAATTTTGATGTTGAACTCGTACGATCAAGTTTGTTTAGTTCTGACTTATATAAACTTTATTTTATTATGAACAGTTTTGATACGTACCATAAAATTTATCACTAAAATCAATAATTTATTTATTTATTATAAATTGATCTTTAGTGGCAGAATTAATTTTTGATGTAGGAATCGAATGATCATTTACTTTTAGCTCTTAATTATAAAAGTTTGTCACATAGTGAATTATACAACACAAATAAGAATAGAAAAGAAGCGTCGGCACTGAAGAAATAGGCCCATTACCTGTTGCCGGTTCTTGTACTTTTCGTGACTTGATTCACAAGGGATCCGGCCTTTGGAACCCGATCTTTCCATAACTGACGATTGATTGAGATAGCTGCTGGACTTATTGCCTGGTCCGTAAGGTGCTAGGCATTTCAATACTGAACATATGCTCCTGCATAGCTTCGTCTAGTCGGTTCTTGAAGGCGTTACACGGAGCGTCAACTCGCCTAAAAAGGTTGATTTAAGAGTCATTGATCGACTTATAGGCTTGCAAGTATCTCACGGAAGCAATAACTAGACGGTTAAAAAAATTCATTCATACACAGAGTGAATTTTTGCGTGAAAGACTTTTCTATAAAATGTACAACAATGTTGGTGAGAGGTAAGCCTTTAACGAGGAAGCTCTCAAAACAATGCCAAGCTTTAGGGAAGCAGAGTGCGATCACAACCTCAACTAACATCAGGGATAATAACATTGCCACAGTAATGAAGTCGCAGGCCTTCTATAGAAACTTTCAATTTCATAAACAAAACTGAACAACATTTTTATAACGCGATAGAAAAGCTTTGCAGTCATAATGCCGTTATAGAACCCTACAAATGTTTGTACCCTACAGACCGTGACAAACTAACTACCTACGCTCTAAAGTCAATTAAATGAATATTTCTTTGGAACTATCATGTAAAATGGATAAAAATTTCTCAGAAAATATATCAGAATAATTTCACAAATAGATTTTAAAAGAAGTTTTGATATATAGCAGAATTTTAGAGAAAAAGGTTGTTTATAAGCTCAGTCCTGAATTAAGATAAATGAAATTAAAACAAAGCAAATAATCTGTCTTATAGACGCTCAAAAACTTGTGGAGAATTTTTTCCGTAAAATAAACGTTGCATTCTCAGCTGCCGAAGGTGAATGATAAATGAACTCAGCCGATCGTAAGTTTCATTTTGTATCTAAATTTTGTCACAGCTCAAGCCATTTAATTCCAGACGACTTATTTGCGCAATGCAATATTCATTATAGTATGAAAAAATCATTTAATTTGATTTTAAAAACTAACATCATATCAAGCTCGGTCTCTATCTAATGAAAAATATAACTTTCCTCAGTTTAGGATACTCAAACAATTTTCCGAAAATTTTCTCGAAAATTTCCTTATCGGAAGAGAACGCAGTGGCCGATGGCCGATAATGCAGTCGGACCGACAAGCTCTCGTCCGGTTCGGTGCATTTGGAGCGACTGCTGTAAATGTCGACGAGCGCCGGGAAGCCTCCTAAGCGGCTTCTGTTCCTGTCTCTCCTCGCGAGTCTTCGCAGCAATTTCTTTGCAATAGCATTATCTGGAAATAAGTCCACGAGTGTATTGTCGGCTGACCGGAATACTAACCATTGAAGAACTTGTCGAACTGTCCCGGCAATATGGAACTGCAGTTGAATTCTTTCCCATCTGAGAGAGTCGCGTTGGATATAGTTTTTCGTATCTGAAAAATTTTTGAGCCCTATTTTTATGTGTTAATTTACCAGTTTTAATTTTGGAAGGGGCTGAAGATGTTCTATGAAAAAATGAAGGTATAAGTACCTATAGACGGGCATGTATAGCCGTTAGTGGTAGCGGCAAGCATTTTCCACTTCGAATATCAGGATAAAAAAATGGAAGAAAAATTTCAGTTTTTATTTCTCATTTTCACTTTTATAAAAATGATCAAAAATGATGTCTAAAAATTAAAATAAAATAACCATTTGTTCGAACTAAAAGAATTGCCGCTACCACTAGCGGCTAATACTTTCCCCGTGTAGGAGCACCTATGCAAGTTAGTGGTGCTCTTGGAATGCTACCTCTTGCGGATTGCATTTTTAAAAGTATAGACAAGTTTCAGTTATTAATCCAAATTTGATGCATTCAAGTTAGTTAATTAAATCTAATAAAAAAATCAGTCCGAATTAAACTCTTAACATATGAGATCAGGAGGTCTCA